TCAAAAAACAAGTGTAAAGTAGTGTGTGTTATGGAAATTTCTATCAAATAACTACTATTATCCTTAGCCCCACGGTGGGCGCCAAACTGTTTACCCTCAAAATCGGATAACAATTGAATTTGTATGTGATTTTGAGGATATGCGGATTAACTTGACACAAAGTGATAAATTAAGTTGCAATTGAAATAAACGATGACAAAATAAATTCAAACCGCACGAATTGGAGAATTTCAGTCTTGGAAGGTCAGTCACCCTCAAACCGGATGCACTTCGATCGGTATCAAGATACAGAAGAATAAGAGCTTAAAGAAAAAAATAATAATGTATTACTTTTGAATGCGCGTTATAATCTGTTTTATGAATTATCAGACCCCCTTTATATAGTAGAGGAGTCCTACTTTAGGTATAATTCTATAAAAGGTAAAAAAATCTCTTGATTTACTAATTGCCAGTTCCTTATTGATACGTGCCGAGATTTTCGACCGGTCACGGATATTTTGGTCTTATGTTGGCTATGCTAACAATGTTTCTTCAAGCTCGTTTGAGTCTAGGATCGATTTCGGGATCACGGCCTCGATATTCTCGAAGGCAGGCGTTCTGCCCTCGGGTTCTAGCCCGGTGGGATTTGGGGTCGATCTTCAGTCCTTTATTGTCATGTCTCGAGCCTGGCTCACCATGTCGGAGGCTAGGATGCACCACGAGTTCGATTTCGACCGTATACAATATTAGCAATCATCCATGATAGCATGACTAGAAAGCATATAGTAATATGGAAGTTTAATAAGAAATGCTTCTAATTTTCTATAATTGATGAGATTTTCAAGTGTTATACTGCTTGTAAACCTTGTAGCTTGAGTAGATCGCTAGAACAAATTCTAACAAAAACTTAGCAAGGCATTTGGCAACATCTATAGATAATTGGTTATAGTATATTTATTCGCTAATTGTACATCATAAGTTCAATTTTGAGCTCTGATAGCATTCGACTAAATTTCTCCATTTCTAGGATAGGATCTTGTAATGCATCAAAGCAGAAGTTCCATCAAAGCCTTTACTGCGGAAGAAGTCTGTATATTCTTTCACTGTGGTTGCACAATACTATGGCGGATTACATTCTGATAACAATTCCTTAATTGGTCCGTAAATCTTGGAAGAGGGAAATGCACCTGTGCTGAAGAAGCTTGGGACTGATATTCTTGGACCTACTTTATTTGACAATACTCTATGCTCAACACTTCGGTACTTGTCATTTGATATGAGCTGAAAAAATATCAAAAGTTAAGCACATTTTGTCTCAGTACCAAGACAATGTATTATGATTAAATTATCAATCACATTAACATGTATTGAATTATGTGACCGTTTCATCTAAAAGCTTAAGTATTATTAGTAAAAAAATTCTAACCTGCAGCATATCTCCAATATTCACCACTAAAGCACCGGATGTAGGAGGAACATCAATCCACTGATTTTGGTGAAGAACTTGTAGACCTCCTATATCATCTTGCAAAAGCACTGTCATAAAAACACAGTCCGAATGCTTTCTGGTTCCTATAGTGAGATCCGGCTGAGGACATGCTGGATAGTAATGGTGTCCAATTGATAGCCCCTCAGCAATGTTCATATTTTTAAGATGCCAAGAATTGAGACCGAGACCCTCAGACAATAATTCGAATAATGAGTAGCCTAATTTCATCATATGCTTAGAAAAATCCATTAAAATCTCCCTGCAAAAAAATTATAAAACATTGATAAAGCTGCAGATACAAATTAGTCTACTCAATTAGTTTTCAGCAACTTCACTTCCTGTAAAAAGTTGTTATTTTCCATATTGTCCACCAAAATTCACATTTTAACATAAAGCAGCTGCAATGACAGCACATTAGATACTAATACTTTGTCATGATGTATTCTTGATTTTTGTTACATTTGAACATCAGGGGTGGATCGAATACACCTTCTATGGATTCAGCGAATTCAGCAATTTTTTCTTCATACCCTATATAGGTGTTAATAAATCTACTACTAAATAAGTACAAATAATAGACTTGGAACCTAGTAAATCAAATGGACTGTGATAAATCCCGAACTTGAACCCATAAAAGTTTAAATCTAGGATCTGTTTCTAGCCCTGTACTGAACATAACTAGATACTAAAAAGTAAGCAAATTTGGTTGGTCTTTTGTAAAAGAATATTTTCTTTCTGATTCATGTTAGAACATACCTGCAAGCTGTTGGCAATTCTTCTGGACTAGGAGGATTAGGAGCCATAACACAATAAAGTGAGTCTCTCCAGCTTGCTGCTGGAACAGATTTGCTATACAGATCAAAATTGCTAACATGTGCCACTTTTTTTGTATTATCTCGAGTATAATATCGTTTCTTAATCTCAATATCTTGCTCGAAAAATCGCCGAGCTCCTTGTAACATTTCTTCAAGGATAGGTAATGGAATTCCATGATTGAGCACTTGAAAAAATCCCCATGTCTCTGATGCATCTCGAACTTTATCAACAATTTCTTTATGCTTGATTGGATGATCAATGCCTTCAAGATCTATTACTGGAAAAATTAACTTTTTCTCAGTGGAGTTTGAGGAGTTGTGTATGCTTTCTTGTGGATGAATGAATATCCGGGGTACTTTAGTAATTCCAGCATCAACAACCCCTTTGACACCAGCTTTTGTGTCATCAAATGCTTTTAATTCACTCTGTCTATCATAATTTTGTTGAAATGTAGCCTCAACTTCTTCACCACTGGAGAAACCCATCTTTGTTTCTTGTTTTTTCGTGTTTTCGTTGAAACTGTAAATACAAGTTACTTTGAAAGTGTATGCAGGTAAGATTTTTAGATGCAGCAAATATTTGAATGTCACAATCACTCCGGTAATCGGGTGCACTAAGCTTTTGTTATGCGCGTGATCCTGCGGTGGAGGGGAAGGGGGCGGAGAGCACAAGGGTCTATTGTACGCAGACTTACTATACATTTCTGCTAGAGTCTATGCGCGTGATCCTAGGATGGAAGTGAAGGAGCGAGAAAGCACACACGCATCCATACATTTGTGCAAAAGACCGGTGAGGTGAAAAAGTTCCCACTCTTGGAACACCAGAAGAAAGCTAAGTAAACTTTAAAAATATAAGAATTTACATTTTATAAATAAAAAAGAAAAAGGAACCACTATCTCCCCGACCACACAAAGGTAATAGAGATGCCAGCTTTCACTAGGACCACCTTTGGTCACTTTCAGAAATTGAATATGAATAAAAGTGCAGTGACTTTGTGTGGTTATACTTTGAGTTATAATTATTTGAGGCCCTTTTATGTAAAAACTAAATAGAACATATAAAATATATCATAATCAAAATCAGGTAGGAGTGAGCAAGAACAGAAATAGTCATTCTTGGTTGAATAAATTGTTATTCTCTTGGTTTAGTATGTTTGTTAATCACTGCTAGATTTTAACTTTATGTCCAATAATGAGATATGAAAAGATCAGGTTCTGCCTTCTGATAACTGCAGTAGTCATTCCAGCATTCACTACAAAACGTCACTACTGGCTATAATATTAATATAACATCTTTTCTACTTAAGGTTCACATATAGGCTATTTCCTCAATAGTTAAATCGAAAAATATTGAGAAAACTACCCTCTATAGTCCCTCAAATTTTTAATAGCTCATGTTTTTGCCCATTAACACAAAATGGTCCTCCGGCCCAAACATATTACATCCAATAACCCGAAATATCTATTTTGTATATTTTTTGTATAGTGACAGTCTATTTTGTATATTTTTTGTATAGTGACAGTTTATTTTGTATAGTGACAGTATATTTTGTATATTTTTTTGTATAGTGACAGTCTATTTAGTATATATTTTGTATAGTAATAGTCTATTTTATATATATTTTTTATAATGACAGTCTATTGTATATAAATTGCATAGTGACAGTCTATTTAGTATATTTTTGTATAGTGACAGTCTATTTAGTATATTTTTTGTATAATGACAGTCTATTTTTGTATATATTTTGTATAGTGACAGTCTATTGTATATAAATTGTATAGTGACAGTCTAGTTTTGTATAGTGAGAGTATATTTTGTATATATATTTTGTAATATACCAATATTCAAAAGAAATGCTCTCCGGTCTAATACATAATCTAAAATGATTTTTAAATATTGGTGAAGATGGTGCGCATTCTGGAGGTACTTGGAATGAATGAAAAGATAGGGAGACAGAATCTAAGAATCTGGAGAAGCCGTCGTCTGCTGCTAATTCCGACCCAACTGGACGGAATAGCCAATTTCTGTCAAGAACGGAATCATTTTCTGGTGCGTCATCGGTAGGTTCTCCAGCTAAACTCCAGAGTAAGGTTGCAGAAACTTCCATCAAGATCAATGAAGCTGCAAAAATATGGCATTACAAGGATCTTTCTGGTAAAATACAGGGTCCATTTTTCTATGGTCCAGTTGCGTAAATGGAGCAATACGACGGTCGTCAGGTGAAGGCGGTCCCCTCGGGAGTGGATCACGACGGAGGGCGTTGATTGGTGGTTCAATACGGAGGTTGTGCTTGCGACGGCGACGTTCGGCAGTTGCTTCTTCGGCTGAGGAAAATGCGTATGATCGCTGAGGGAGAAGGAAGTTAGGGTTTTGAGTGGCAGTGGCGTTGGGCTAGCCTTTTAATTAGTTTTGGGCGGTTAATTGTATGATTTATTTTGCGGCTAGCTATTGTCGTTAGTGTTAGTTTTTCCCGGATGGCTACAAATGAAATTTGCTCAAAAATATTACCAACACTAAGTTTGAGGATTAGAAAACCAGCAAACCACNTAATGCAACGTTTGTTTGGCCATAAAGAAAAAATATAATCTCCGCTCAACAAATGTGGCATTTGGTTGACGCCTGACGGTATTAAATAAAACATGCATTAAATTATGCAACAATCATGTGTACTATTTTATGTGAGATAATACGTGTATTACAAATACGAGAAAAAAAGTATCTAAAGATATATGTCCTTAGTAATCCGGGTATAATATTCCCTTTTATTTATTATTATTCACTGCATAACAATTTCACTTTATTATTCAGCGCAAGACAATCATTTTTTTATCATCCACCGTAAAAATCGTTCTTGCATTACAATCCCCGCATAACTATAATGTGAACCAAAGGACCCCTAAGATTTCAACTCCATAGCCGAGTTTAGATTCTGAGATGAGACAGATTGGAAGTTCCATCAAGCCCTTTCTTGCTGAAATAATCATAGAAGTCCTTCAATGTAGTTGCGCGATATTTTGGAGGATTGTCTTCTGATAGCAGCTCCTCAATTGGTCCATATAGTTTGGAAGATGGCAATGGTCCTGAACTGAAGAAGCTTGCTATAGATATTCTTGGACCAACTTTCTTTGACAATGCTCTATGCTCTACACTTTTGTACTTGTCATTTGATATGAGCTGAAAACCCAAAATTAAACAAAAATTTAAGTTGATTATAACCTATTAAAAAGACTTTATGGAAAATAGACTTATCCCTATTGTTTTCTACTCGAACTATGTACACATATGCAATAAGATTATACTCGTACTGAACTTATTGACTCTAGATCCTCAATTCGGACTTGCCTGGAGAACGTCGCCAATATTGATTACTAAAGCTCCAGGTGTGGGAGGAACATCAACCCACTGATTCTGGTGAAGAACTTGGAGGCCGCCGAGATCGTCTTGCAAAAGGACAGTGAAGAAGTCATTATCTGTATGTTTGCTGAGGCCTACAGCTAGTTCTGGCTGTGGACATGCTGGGTAGTAATTGCACAAAATGCTAAGACCCTCAGAACATCCCATTTCTTTGAGATGGCTTGGTTTTAGACCAAGACACTCTGATAGTAACTCAAGCAAGGTGCATCCCATTTTCATAACATGATGTGAGTACTCCATTATTATTTCCCTTCAAGAATGCAAGTAAAGTTAATAGCATTTAGATGTTGAAAGTATGTAGTTGATAATTTTTAAGCAAGACATTCACTTGACACCAAAAGATGAAGATGAAAGCATCATTTCTAATTAGGATCACTATATCATATTATCATGCTCATGACAGTATTTGACTGGACACATAGTTAAAAATAGTGATAGCGAAAGAAAAATACTAAAGCATCGATAGAAAAAATAGGTGGATATAAAAAACGAGTTAAAGTTAGATAGTGTAATGCGTTGAAGTTTTCGAAGGTTGTGAAATTTGTTCAAATATGGAATGGCATCAAAAAGTTTGAAACGTCCCAAAAAAGAAAAAGTCTCATATAAATTGGATCAATGGAGTAGTTTTCCACAAGAGTTTAAGTTTTATATAGTGACGGTGAAACTTTATTTAAACAATCATGCCATTTAAAAGGTAGTTATGGGCAACTCTATGGTAACCTATAACAAATGGCAAGTAACTGTTAGGATCGAAAAAATCAGGTGTCATGTGGAAGCTAGTAAAGCAAACCTTGAACGACGATAAATCAGACAACAAAAGAGAAATATAATAAAAGAGACAAATATTTAACATGGTTCAATCAATTGACTTACGTCCATGGCGGATATGAGCAATCCACTATATAAAAAAAGAGTACAAAATATCGAGAGAACAACCTCACGAAGTGGCAAACACAAGTGACACACTAACATTTGTCCCGTAAAGTTCTCCCCCTAAACATGACTCTCAAACCCCGTATGACTACATTGTGGATGCTGATGAATGAGAAGGAAGGATCCTCAATTTATAAAAGTCCAAACTTTTTCCTACAAGAAAAGAGACTTGCCAAATATGAAAGATTTATGTTTCCTTCTAAGAATAGGAAAGCTCAATTATGGTAAACATGTTGTCATTTCCTTTAAGAGGTAGGAAAACCAATATGGTAAGAAAACCAGGACAACTCCTAACAATAACCTACTATAACCGGCGGCAGAGCCTGGGTGGCGGAAGGGGTTCGAAAAATTACATTGTATATATAAGATTAAAATTATTTTTTGAGAATATCTAGTAGATGTTGAATCCTTCGTTTGTTTACTTTTTTATATTTTAAATTCCCTTTGTAAATCTTGACTCCGCCATTGACTATAACCGGTTAAAATAACATAGATTTTTAGACTGTAAATATATATAACTTAAATTCTTTCAGAAAATGTATACCTGCATGCCTCAGGCAATTCCTCAGGGTCAAGAGGAGCAGGACCCATAGTGGAATAAAGTGAGTCGCTCCAATTTACTGCTATAGCTTTAGGACTATACAGATCAAAATTGCTATTGTAAACCACCCTCTGTGTATAATCTCTATGGTAATATTGCTTTTTAACTTCAATATCTTGCTCGAAGAAACGACGTGATCCTCTCAACATTTCGTCCAGGACGGACACTGGAATACCATGATTGATCACTTGGAAGAAACCCCATGTTTCTGATGCATCTCCAATTTTTTGAACTATCTCTTTGTGCTTGACTGGATCATTGTTCATGTTTTCAAGGTCTATCAATGGAAAAATAAAATGTTTTTCCTCGAGGCTCGGGGACTTCCCCGAGCCCTCTGGATGGATGAATATTCGAGGTACTTCAGTAATTCCAGCATCGACGAGGCCCTTGACACCGGCTTTTGTGTCATCAAAGGCTTTAAGTTCACTGTTTTTATCATAGTTTTGTGGGAAATTGTCCTGAATTTGTTGTGTGTTTGAGACAACCATTTTGTATATTGGAGGTATACAAGTCATATATTGCATTCAAGGTTTATAAAGACTAGAAAGAAAGGTAAGAAAGATGATAAGAATGAGATTTATAACAACCCAACAGCCACTCGATTGTGTACTGGTACAGTGGTACTATTTAATGGCCGCTTTCACATTTCTGAAAATAGTACTACTAGTAAGCAATTATTTTATCTTATTTCTGAAAATAAGAAAAAAGCTTCATCAAACAAATAATTTAAAAGAATATCTAATTATATTAAATTTAGATATTTCGTGACTACGTGCGAATAATTTTTTTATCATTTTAAACTTCGGTAATAATTGACAAGCATACATAGGAGCTAGTACATCCTTACTGTTACGCGGCGCCTTCCTGAAGTTCCTTGGAAGGGCGACGTAAGGCTAAGCAACCGATGTCAGTACGGTTGTTGTCCGCCAACTGAGGTCCCCTCCGTACGCTAGACTAGATTGTCAGTGCCGTACCGGAAAACCAATGTAATGAGCAATTGAAAGAGAGCAGAAAAGAGAATTGAGAATGAAAGAAAGCTTGATTGTATTGAATNCGGCTTGGCCAAGTCAGGGAGGGCCAAGACTGGGCTACTATACATAGCCATCTTCAATGCGTCGAAGTCCTCTGCCCGCTTGGGGCCCCAATCCCACGGGGTGGCCTTCTTGAGAAGTTCTGTCAGCGGCACTGCAATGAGGGAGTAACTTTTCACAAACCGCCGATAGAAGTTGCATAGGCCAAGGAACGACCTCAAGGCATGTATATCCTTAGGAGGCGGCCATTCTGTAATGGCCTGAATCTTCTGCTGGTCCATCTTGATCCTCCCTTCCTCGATGACATGTCCGAGGAAGTCAATTTGTTTCTGAGCAAAGGAGCACTTGGATAGCTTCGCATATAATTCGTGCTCCCGCAATCGGGCTAGGACCTTCCGCAAATGCTCCAGGTGTTCTTCCAGTGTCTGGCTATATACCACAATGTCATCCAAATAAACCACGACGAATTCATCAATGTATTCTCGGAAGACTTGGTTCATCAAGGTGCAAAATGTGGCTGGCGCATTAGTCAAGCCAAAGGGCATAACCAGGAAGTCGTACGACCCATATCTTGTCACACAGGTCGTCTTGTGCTCATCACCATCTGCAATCCGAACTTGCCAATAACCTGTCATCAGGTCTATTTTGGTGAATACTGTCGCACCACCTAGTATATCAAACAAGTCTGCCATTAGCGGAATAGGGTACTTTGTTTTCACAGTGATTTTGTTTAGTGCCCGGTAATCCACGCAGAGTCGTAAACTACCATCATGTTTCTTTTGGAATAGCATAGGGGACCCGTATGGGGACTTGGAGGGTACAATGATCCTTGTGTCTAGCATTTCCGTCAATTGTCTCCGAAGCTCGGAGAGTTTGGGTTGTGACATTCTGTACGGCTCCCAGGCAGGTGGCTTCGCACCCGGCACCAACTCAATCTCATGGTCCACAGTTCGCCTAGGTGGAAGGCGCTTCGGCATGTCTTGTGGCATGATGTCTTCAAATTCCAGAAGCAACTCCTTCACGGGTGCAGGAATGGGACCCGAGGAGCGTTCTATATCTTCCATGCAAAGGGTAGCCAGGAACGTGGGTTCTTGTCTTTTTACCCCCTTCTTCAACTGCAAGGCCGAGATGTTCTCGACTTCCATCCTCATGGGAATGCACGAAATAATGCAGGGCTTGGCTCCATTTACTCCCATCATCAGTAGCATGTCTGCATACGGTGCGGGCATGGTATTGGTCTGTCTCAGGAATTCCAACCCCACTATTAACTCAAAGTCATCTATGATCACTACGCGCAGGTTGAACTTTCCTTCATAAGGGCCAAGCTTCACTGGTACTTCTTTGGCTATTCCACCCACTGGTTGAGGTGGTGAGTTGATAGCCTTCACACGACCTTTGCCCTTTCCTACAATTAGCCCAAGACGCTCCACCTGAGTCGAAGCTAAGTAGTTATGGGTGGCACCTGTGTCTATCATTGCCCGAATGGGCTTGCCATTTACCTTCATGTCAACGAACATTAAGGTCCTCTCTTGATGAGGAGGAGTCCTATCATTCGCCTTCTTTGTTCCTTTCCTAGCAATTGGACATGGGTCTTTCTTCTTGCGGATACCGGCACTGGTTCCTGTTAAGGGCTCAGAAATGGAGCCAACAATTGCATTGAATGCACCTACTGGCTCGGTCTGGTCTGCATCATCGGCGTCGTCATCCGTCCCATCCTCAAAAGCTTGATGGGCGTTCATTTGTGCATGTGGGCATTCATTATTCCAATGTGGCCTGCCGCAATGACGACATCCTGAGGGGGGCTTCCTCCCCCGATCATTGTTGTTAGATACAGCACTAGTACTGCCTAAAGAAGGAGCCTTAGCTTTGGGTGCACTCTGGTCTCCTCCACTTCTGCTAGGGCCACCATTGTTTGGGTGGCCCCCTTTGTATCCTCCTCGGACAGGGCTGTTGCGGCCTATCCTTCCGAGCTTCCACTTGGTAATCCCCAAGGCACTCCGCTTCTTGGATTGCCTTAGGCAACGTGTCTACCCTTTGTCTCTGCAACTCCATCCGGGCATAAGGTTTCAACCCTTCCAGGAAGGTGAAGAGTTTGTCTTTGTCCCCCATGTCACGGATGTTCAGCATGAGCGCGGAGAATTCCCGCACGTAATATCGCACTAATTTGGTCTGGCGGAGCTCCCATAACTTTCTCCTGGCATTGTACTCAACATTTTCGGGGAAGAACTGTAGGCGTATGGATGCCTTCAGTTCTGCCCATGTCTCGAGGGCATCTTCACCAGCCTTGATGGCTTCGTACTTCACCCACCACCAGAGTTTGGCATCACCCTGAAGATACATGGCAGCAGTTTCTATCTTCTTAGCTTCTTCTAGGCCTCCCACGGCATCGAAGTATTGCTCGATGTCGAAAATAAAATTTTCCACTTCTTTGGCATTCCGAGCCCCACTGTATGGCTTTGGCTCAGGAATTTTCAGCTTTTGTGCTATAGGGGCAAGGTTCACACCACCCCCAAATTGGTTTTCGCCTCCTCGAAGTAGGCCTTGTAAAGCAGCATTGACAACGTTGAGCTGGCATGTCAAGTTGTCTATAGTTTGTTGCATGGCAGTCACCTTGTCTGCCTCTTGTTCCCTGTTGGCTAAATCCTCGGCACGCTCCAGCTGGAGGACCTCAAATTTACCAAAAATTTCAGCTGCCTCTGTGGCTGCCGTTTGCCGGTCAGCTTTAGAGTCGCGACTGATATTTTCTATGTCAACTTCAGCCTGGATCAGTCTGCGGTCCAGGTCGTCCAACCTTTGCACTAGGCTGGTCTTTAGGTCATGCACCATTTCCACAATGGGCCATCATGCGTCAACCGTTCCCTCAAGGGTCGCGATGTGATCCCCATAATTCACCATGGTCAGAAATTGTGGTGATTGCAATGTAATCCCTCGTCCGATGTCAAGCCTAGGCTCTGATACCAACTGTTACGCGGCGCCTTCCTGAAGTTCCTTGGAAGGGCGACGTAAGGCTAAGCAATCGATGTTAGTATGGTTGTTGTCCGCCAACTGAGGTCCCCTCCGTACGCTAGACTAGATTGTCAGTGGCGTACGGGAAAACCAATGTAATGAGCAATTGAAAGAGAGCAGAAAAGAGAATTGAGAATGAAAGAAAGCTTGATTGCATTGAATGAAAGCTATTACAGAAAACAAGACGGTGTCGGGGGGGAGAGACACCAGTACAGAGAATTGTTTGCTTGCTTGAAAGTTTTGATTGCTTGGTCCCCCTTAATAATGCTTAAAAAAAATAAACCAAAGTTACATGACTAGACCTATGAAAGCTGGAAAATCACACTTAAAGAAAATGCAGCAAAACTACTCTATATTTATAATGAAAAGGACTTAGTCTTCTACAAAGCAGCAACAAGTCCGTTGGCAGCAACATTGTCTTTAGCATCAGGGTCTGCGCACGCGGCATTGTCTACGTGCGCGGCGCCGTTGGCATTAGGCGCTGGCGATGGCTATCGGTGGGGCGACAGAGGCACATGCGCGCTTGTCACTTGGAGCTGCCGAGACCACGGGGCCGACCGTGGCGACGGGCGTTGGGAGGCTGGCCAGGACGCCAAGGGGTCATGGGGCATGGTTGGAAAGCCGCCCATGACATTACATATGATAAGAAAATGGACCTAAGGAGAAACTCAATCCAAAAAGTTAGCTCATTAGGTGAGGATTGCCTTCTCAATCCAAAAGGTTAGCTCATTAGGTGAGGATTGCCCAAGACCATACACTGATTTTGAAACTCAACAATATAAGGATATCTAGCATAGTAACAACTGCGTTGACTAAAATCGTTTATTTTTAGTATTAGTATTGTTTGTCTATATGGTTTTTGTTTGAATTTGTTGTTGTATAAATTGTTGGATTGGGGATTATCTTTAGATTTAGAACATAATTTCGATGGCATTTATTTTTATAATTTAAATATTTCTATCACGAAAGAGAGTCTTGGCGTAACTAGTAAAGTTGTTGCGATGTGACCAAAAGGTCACGAGTTCGAGCCGTGAAAACAGCCTCCGGCAGAAATACAGTTATATAATAAAGCCACATTATGGCTTCATTCTCTCGTTCTCTCCATTCTCTAGGCAGTTACTCTTCATCTTCAGACAGTAATCCTTAGAATAAGTTTTAAACTTTTTTGAATTTCTCATCTTAATTCTTCAGTTAAGATTTTTAGTTTTAAACTTTAAAGAATTAATTGTTCGGATTTTTAGTTTTTTCATTTGTTTCTTTTGTTGCACTGATTCTTTAATATTTACAAGATTAGGATTTATTATTTTCTTGTGAGTTATGTCCGCCGCAGTGAGGTAGTTAGTAATATTAGATTGTTGAATGTCCTATTTATTACTCCTATTAACTTATAACTTTGAAAATTGAGATCATTTATTAGGATTTTCAGATGCAAAGAAAGTTTTCTTTTGCTAAAGTTGAAATTTGAGGAGCAAAAATTCAACTTCTTTCTCTTAACAGTATGATCACGATTTCTATAATAAAAACATGAAATT